TTCTGAAGACAAGCTGAGGTATAAATGATCTAAAACTATGGGGTCCACACCCCATAAAAATAAATATCTCTTACTTTCTCTCTTTTTCTTTTTTCTACCCTCCCCTCCACCTCTCTCACATATACATACACACACATACAATCCTCCTGGGCTCAATTCTGATCATGCTTTCCTCATCTCAGCCATCATGCTAGGATACATGTTGTCAATGTCAACTATCTTTACCTCCGCAGATGCATAACCAGTTTACAAATTATATTTGCAGTGTCCCTTAAACATTTCCCATTTACAGGTGACTTTTGGACAGAGATCTCCAAATCTCTGGAGATCTGTTCTGCTCAGGGACTGAACCAAAACAGTTCAAAAGGATGAGAGAAAAGAAAGAGTGCTGATCAATAATGTCCAATAAGTTGGGCTGGTCCCTGAGATCCTGTGAAGAGAGGCATCCTCCTTAGCTCTGGTCTGACCACATTCCATCTCAACAGTTTCTCAAGGATGCAGATAACTAATCAAAATCCAAACAATGAATCCAAAAGGAAAATAATGAAAATCTTATCATGTAAATACTCATCAAACCTCCCATTTTTAATGTATGCTGAAGAAAAAATACATTTTAAATAAAAATATAATGTTCAATGATACTGGGTACTTTTAAAGATGAAATTGTAAAGTGCTTTTTTTAAATGATTTTAAATGCAAAAAATTATAAAAGTGGAAAGTCGAGTCTGAATCTCAGAGATTATTACTTGCTTGAATTAGAAGAGACAACAGAAGTAAAGAAGTCTGGGGTGGGGGTGTGGGAAAGAAGAGAAAGACAGGAAGCAAGAGAGAGCATAGGTCAAGGGGATTCAGATATGCTGGTGGGGTAAAGGAGTTGCATATCCAAATCACAAAGTCAACAACACTGAAAACAAGAGATCCAGGCTTCAAAAACCTAACTTTAAAATGTGCCTATCCAGATGGCAGGCTGAGTATTGGGGTGGAGGGGAGAGGAACCCAGGGCACTGGTGGAGGGAAGTTGACAGTGGAGGTTAGGTTGGTGCTGAGACATTGCATGTCTAAAACTCAACTATGAATAGCTTTGTAAATCATGGTGCTTTAATAAAATTGAGGAAGATTGAAATAAAGAGAAAAGACAACAGATTCTCTCACATACTCATACTCATATAAATAGTGGAGTTACTGGAATATTCTAATATGGTAGACAGATTTGAACAACAAATAAAAAAATTAGAATAGTAACTTTTAGTTGGTGAGTGGCCGTTAGCTGTTGAGATATTAGATAATTGTTTTCTTCCTCCAATCAGAAATCTCTATTGTTTCCTATTATTTTGATACTAAAATAGTTGCAGGCATAGCTAATTAGCAAATCTACATGTTAAACATGGGATTTCTGTGTGGTTACCTGGAACAAGATAATGGTATATTTCCATAACTGCTGTTGCAAAGTAGTGTTAACCTCCATCATCCAGGATTTCTTGCTGCGTCCCGCACAGCTAGTCAAACATCAGCTGGAGAGAGGGAATGAGAGCTGAAGACAGGGTAGGGAGGACTGCATGAAACATATAGCAAGTTTATCATAATCCAAGCTGATTTACATAAGATTTATATAATCTTATTTTAGCAACGATCGGCAGATTTAAAAAGCTGTGTAAACAATATTAGTTAGGCTGTTCCTCATCCTTGCTCTTGAGAAACAAGAAATGGAGACGTAGCCTTCAGTCTCCTCTGAAGATCAGCCGCCAGAGCATGGTGGCCTTTTGACTTTTCTCTCGAGGCTGGCCGCCAGAGCATGGTGGCCCTTCGGCCACCTGTCAAGGTCGGCTGTCAGGACATGGCTCACCCTCATGCCAAGTTTCTCCACACCCAGTCCCTATTTACAGGGACAGAGGCAGGGAGTGCCTGGGCCCGTCCCCAAGAATTTCTAATAAATGCGATAGTGTTCGATTATAAATCATAAATATATTTTAAATGCATTCATTAATTGCACTTGACTCCAATAAAATGCTGTTTTCCTACTCCTCCTAACTACAGACTATGTATAAATTGGTCTAAATTTATTTGAACCATTTTATGTCTTCATTCCTGTCTTAGTCTCATCCAATTTGATTTCTAATTCCATCTCCTAATTCTTACAATGTTCCTTTCATTGCTAAATCCAGCTGCCACCTTCAAAACTACATAAACTACTTTTACTATAAATTAGTCAACTATACAAATAAATAGGACATTATCTCAGCACTGAACTTGGCAGCTTCATTTAGGGGAGTTGAGGTAAAAGTACTTTGCTCCCTTTCCTATGAACCTTTCCTGAATTTCTGGGGTTAACCATCCTAGGGCCAATATCAGTGCAGAGTAAGCATTATATAAGTCGTCATTTCACCTTACTGAACTATATGGATTCACATCTGCCAGTAGAATGTAAAGTAATCTTTAATAAGATGAAAGCATAAAAGCCTTCCAGGTGATGGTCAAAAGAGGATTCACATCCAACCACAAAGAGCAAGAGTGCAAAAGACAATAAACAGATTAAAGGCCATATAGTACAGTAAACTAGGCACTTGCCTCACAGGCACCAGCCTGTGTTCCATCCCCAGCACAACATATTGTCCCCCTTGACTCTCCAGGAGTAATCCCTAATCTCAGCATCAGGAGCACCAGGTCAGGAGTCCCAGAGCCAAAACAAAGAGATGAACAAAACCTAAGTGTGTGAATGTGCAGTTATTTATTAGCTCAGAGTACACAGAATAATGTTCATTTTCATTTTTGTTTATAGTAACTTTCTCAAGTGAGGAATATATACATAACAGTTAAATAATTTTAGTAAAATTTTAAAGCAATTTGTAATGCGATGTTTGATAAATCTGAGTTCCCAATATTCAAGAGCTCCCACAATTCCACACACATGCAATTTTTACATATACAGAAGCACTGAGTGGCAAACTTCAGAGTGAAATGTACATACAAACACTGCAATTTCTAGTTTGAAACAATGCAACCAAAAAGTGTAATAAATTAGCTCTGACCCCATACACAAATATACATGAATAATATCTATACAGATAAGATACATTAAAAGAAACCAATAAATTTCCCACCAATACATTTAGCTGCACAGACAATAAAAACTACAAGACATAACTTTCAATTATGACTTCTTTTATTTATCATAAATTTTTAATAAAAATGTTTACTCATTCATCATTGTTTAAAATTTTATTAACATTTCAGCATAACAACTTCACACCACTGTATATGTGTAAAAGTAATGATATTCACTGCCACGAAATACACTTCTGTTATGCTTTTGACTGGAGTAAAGAGAAAAGTTTTCTTTTATTTTGTTTGTTGGGAGACATCTGGTGGTACCAATAGTTTCCTCCTGGCTCTGTGCTCAGGAATCACTCTTGGTGGGACATGGAGGACCCTGTGGGCTGCAAGGTAAGCAACTTACACACTCTACTCCCTCTCTATCTCCAAGTGGATGCTTATTTTATTTGTGTTTTTTTTTAACTCTGTTGACTTCTGAAACCTGACTGAATAGTTTATCCAGAAACAAAGACTGAGCAACTATATGAAATCCTTTGATGCAACTTTCCAAATAATGACGTTTGCTATATATGCAGACCCTGAGAGCTATGAAATATTTATGTTCTTTTCAGCAACTGGGAAAATGACATCTTTGATACAAATTTTGAGCAACCCAAACCTTCTGTTTCTGGAAGTATTTGCCATCATTTAATCCCTCAGAATATTTTTGAATGATAATAAATGTATATAGATTTTTTTCTCACTATAGTGAGGTTGCAATAGCAATGTGAATTATTTTTACATACCTCTTCTAAAAGGCCCTAGTCCTGTAACTCTCTAGATTTTAGTACTCACAGAATAATGGCAGGCTTCTGACTCCAAGAATCATAATAGAATGAATGTGTCTCATTTAATTCAAAGTCATAATTTCATAGCTACATTTTAGCCTGAATAGAAACATTTTCCCAATCAAATACTCTTCAGGAAAAAAATGAAATTAGTTAACTTATCTTCTGGATAAACACAGTTTTTTCAGTGTAAGCAGTGGAGGTAATCTAAAATTAACTTGGAGATCAATACAAAATTTCTTGTCTACAACTGTAAAAAGAGTTTCAGATTTTGACACATATAGTCACATTGAGTCTCATATATGGAGCTCGATAATGGAAGATACTGATTACTCACAATCCATTTCCTACTTATGAAAAAAGTATACCAGATAGTTGTTTGCCTTAAAGGTTTTGGAAATTTTTAATCAAAAATATAATATGAGATCATTTATAAAAGTATTTTAAATGTCAGTTAATTCATCATCCTTACGTGTATCAAAATCCTACTTGTGGGCTGAACTTCCTACCAGTGTTGTGTCTATTGAAATGTGTGTCTGTGAAGACGCCTGTTGCAGATCATGTTGCCATGAACCAGGAAGGCTCTGTGGACACTGAGCTGCATGAAAACAGGGCTCCGATGTGAAAAGTCTTCCTTATCTGGGAGAGAATTTTATATCGTGATACAGAAGGGATGAGGACCCTCAGTAAACTCTGAGGATCATATTTTCTTCTCCCATAAAATTGTATAAAATGTCTTGACATTCCAACGTAACTAATTTTTCCATAGGCATGAAGCAACTGATGATACCTTTGTTAGTAGAGTAGAAAAAGTATTATTTAATATGATATCTATTGATTGAAAATAATATTATAAAATATATGTGCAGTCTTATTAAGTACCTGGGAATTTCCAATATTTGTGACCCAGTTAGGAAGTAAGGAAACAACAAGGGCAAATTGTTGCATATTCGAGAGACAAGACTGTTAATAACTTGAATTCTGTACATGAAGAGAGTAGTCCAGGTCCAATGCAGAAATCTCATGATACAAAAAAGGGCATATTCTATTTTCAGTCTTATCACCAAGACAATTTCTGACTCTGAGATTTAGACCTCTGAGTTTTGTGAAAATTCTCTCATCCTAGGAGAATGGTCTGTTTGTAGTATCCTTCATGAACATCCTTTTCAGAGCCTCCTTGATGTCTTTGTTCCTGAGACTGTAGATGAAGGGGTTCAACATGGGTGTGACCACTGTGTACATCACCGAGGCTGTTGCACTTGAGTGTGAGTCCTGGGTACCTGCAGAGCTGAGGTACACACCTAGGGCTGTGCAATAAAATAAGAAGACCACCGAGAGGTGAGATGCACAGGTGGAAAATGCTTTCAACTTCCCCTGAGCTGATGAGATTCTATGGATGGAGGAAACAATCTTGGTGTAAGAGTAAACAATCCCGGTGACAGGACCACCAGCCAGCAGCACAGCTCCAATATACAACACTAAGTTATTAATAAAGGTGTTGGTGCAAGAAAGTTGAAACACATGGTTGAGTTCACAGAAAAAGTGAGATATTTTCCTGCCTTTGCAGAAGGAAAGCCTCAGCACCATTAAGCACTGTAACAAGGAACACAGAACACCTGTGATCCAACACATCAGAACCAGCAGCCCACAGAGTTGAGGGTTCATAATAACCATGTAGTGCAAGGGGTGGCAGATGGCCACATAGCGGTCATAGGCCATCACAGCCAAGAGAAAATTGTCCAGTCCTGCAAAGAGTAGGTAAAAGTATATCTGGGTAATGCAGCCTGCATAAGTGATACCTTTTATTCTTGTCTGGATGTTCAGCAGCATCTTTGGGATAGTGGTCGAGGTGAAACAGATGTCTACAAAGGACAGGTTGGACAGGAAGAAGTACATGGGCGTGTTGAGGTGGGAATCTGAACTGACAGCCAGAATGATGAGCAGGTTTCCAAGGACAGTGATCAGGTACATGGAAAGGAATAGACCAAATAGGACAATCTGCAGTTCTTCTCTGTTTGAAAATCCCAGTAGAAGAAAATTTGGTAATCCTGTGTCATTGCCTGGTTCCATGTAGTCAAGCTGACTATCAGGAAAGAAAATAAAACATGTTCAAAAATTTTAAAAAATTGCATTCCTAACATTGTCATTTTTATACTGTATTTTAGATTCATAACTAAGTATCTATAATTGCTCCTGGACCCTTTTTTGGTTGGGGGAGGGCACACCTAGCTGTGCTCAGAGCTTAGTCCTGGCTCTGTGCTCAGGAATCACTTCTGGTGGGACTCAGGGGACCATGTGGGGTGCCAAGAATTGAACCCAGCTCAGCTGCATGCAAGGCAAGCAACTTACCTGCTTTACTATCTCTCTGGCCATTCTTTTTAGAATTTGTCCATGTACAGGGAATCTCCTTACTATCACTTGGGTAGGGATGTTTGTTTCAGTCTCATCTTCCTCCACACTTTTAATGAGAACATTTATATGTATTGAAGAACTAAATTGACAACTGACCATCCTGTGACACATAAATTAAATTTCCTATAGTTCAATTATGGTGAATGGATTAGAAAATACCAATCATATAAATGATCACAATGCACGCATTGAACTGAGAAAATTTAAGAAGATATAAAGGAGAGGATTGTGGGGGAATTACTTTCTCAGTGAATTTTCAGTCCATATTAGCAAGCACTTGAATAGAAACTACAGGTATTTGGGATAGGAGTCAAGAGATTTTCTAGCCAAATATGTATCCATTGGTGGGAAGGCCAGTGCAAAGACCTTGTAAAAACATTTAATTCAGAGAACTAAGCTCAGGAGGAAGGAAGCTTGTGCTCGCGGTTGAGGCAGTATAAGGATGGATGCTGTGAGAGCACCCTCTGCTGCTGCACTCTCACCTCACAGGGTGCTCCTGCACTTACATCCTGAGAACCAGAGCAAAACAAGGGTTATACTCAGCATTTTATTTGTAGATTCACTTTGGGGGTTTAGGAGCTCAAGCATGACCCTCACAGTCACGTGTACAAGCACGCTAACAAACCCAAACCTTTGGCACACATATACACTCACCCTCACACACATATACCAACCACACTCACAAACACAGGCACTCATCAGATTCCCACTAATTTACCCCCATCACATTCTTCACACATACTCCCACACCTATAACCACTCAATCCACACTTACAGTTATCACACCCATCCATTCACACCTACCCACACTCATGTATACATTCAGCATAATAACCATAATACACATAATACATAAAACAGTAATACATAAAACATAATACATAAAACATAATACACATAATACATAAAACAGTAATACACTCTCTAACACGCATCACACACACACATATACACACTCACACCAGCAGTCACACACTCAGATGCACACACTGTAGACTACTGTACCATTCTGTTCTGCTGACTTTTTGCATCGTTAGTGATATTCTGTGATAAACGCATGCTCGAGATATCAATGAATCTTTATCTTAAAGCATGGCGAAATGTTGCATATATTCTGTTTTGTGATCCTCCATGGATATGAACACATAGGACTGTATTTTAATATGACTATTATCTTTCTTATATTAAAGGGATGTAATAAATATAAGTTAAACAACAGAGCTGTAAAAGGGCACAAGGGGAAGAAATGCAATTAGCCCCGTGGTCCTGAGAGACCATGCTGTGAAGGTGGCTCCTTTGGTTCTGGCAACATTCCAACCCAGATGTGTCTCCTAGATGCCAAGAAGAACTAATAAGCTGGTCAAAAAGTAATTTGTTCCCAAGAGAGGAGCAATGTCTTTTTAGCACTGAGGCACCTTCCTGATAGTTTAGCCAAAGAGGACCCAAAAATAAGAAATCCAAAAATTAAAGTTACAAGTATGGAGACAATTTGAATTTTGAATTGGCACTAACAAAAGCCTAGATTTAATGATCCACAACTTTTGAAATCAGAAATAGATTTTTAATCTTTTATTTATAAATTCTAGTATTTTGACCTTGGAGAGCCAGCTGAACCATCCTCAATGTTAACAGTTTCACCCAAACATGAGGATAGAAGCATTCAACCTCCTTATTACGGCAGTTGTTCTGAGCACTTGTGGAATGCTTATCTGATCCTTCCCATTAGTAGAAGAAGGGGAGGGTGGTATGCATTGGGGTGAGACTGTACTGATTGCATTTTTTTCCTCACAAACATTTGTTTTGCTTCCATATCTCTCTTTCCCTAATTCCATGGTTTTATCTCAGTTACTTCTGTCTTTCCCATATTCCTCAAACTGGTACTCCTCTCCTGATGTTCAATGATGTCCAGTGCTATCTACCTCTGTAAGTGAGCCAATCACACATGACTTAATGACCACAGTGGACTCCCAAATGGAGAAAAAATAAAACCTTTCTTCCAAAGCCTCACTAGGAAGTGGCTTCTCCCTGGAAAAGTCACCCTCTATAGATGATGTTCTACCAATTTCATTCTTATTTCTCCATTGTAAAGTCAAATACCAATCAATAGGGCCCATTAATTCATTTTTGGTTCACTTTTGATTTCATCAATGTGTGCTTTTACTGAAAATAATGTAACATGAAAATTAGGAATTAAGAAGAAAGACTGTGCTAGAGAGATATCATAGGGTTAAGTCACTCACCTAGTACACAACTGATGCTGTTCAACCACTGTCATTATATATGGTCCCCTGAGCATTGTCAGTAGTCATCACTGAGTACAGAAGCAGGAGTGAGCCCTGACTACTGATGTGTGCATCCCCCAAATGTGAGGAAGAGGGAGGAGAAGGGTGAAGATGATCACGAATAAAAAGGCAGAGGAAGAAGAGGAGGAAGAGGAGGAGGATCAGGAAAATTAAAATTAAATTAAGATTAAATTTAAAAATTAAACTAAGTTAAATATTATGGGTTCACATAATTGCACTAAAATAAATGTAATAAAATCAGCTCTTCCCCTTCGCCCCCAACGATGATCGATGATCCACCAGTCTTCTACCCCACCCAGGTCAGTCTGCCCGCCAGCATTCGAATCTGGGACTTGGCTTTCACCCTGCATCCTCTCAGACCCTGGGAGAAAAGCAGGCCTGACCCTCTTCCTCTTCGCCCCCAGCGCTGCTCCTCCGACCCTTCAACCCATCCAGCCTTTACCCCACACACAGGAGGCTCCCGAGCGGGCATGGACTCTTCAGAGGTGGGCGTGGCTTCAGTAGAAGTGGGCGTGGCTTGATTTTAGGCCTGCCAAAGTTCACGGGGCCACAAGTAGTTTAGTATACCAAGAAATCTAGTGTAACCACAAGGCAGTAATAATTAAAACAGCATGGTACTGGAACAAAGGCAGAGCTGTAGACCAATGGAACAGGGTTGAATATACTGGCATCTCCCCCCAAGCATACGAGCATCTAACCTTCGATAAGGGGGCAAGAAAAGTGAAGTGGAGCAGGGAAAGCCTCTTTAACAAATTATGCTGGCAAAACTGGACGGCTACATGCAAAAAAATGGGCTCAGATCTCTGCCTAACTCCATGTACAAAAGTAAGATTAAGTGGATTAAAGATTTCAACATCAGACTGGAATCTATAAGGTACATTGAGGAAAAAGTTGGCAAAACCCTCCATGACATAGAAGCTAATGGTGTCTTCAAAGATGTCACACCGCTGGCCAAGCAAGTGAAAACAGAGATAGACAAATGGGACTATCTTAAACTAAGAAGCTTCTGCACCTCAAAGGAAACAGTGACCAAAATACAAAGACAGTCTATAGAATGGGAAAGAATATTCACCAAATACACATCTGATCGCTCCAGCGCTGATGGGCGCTGGAGCGATAGCACAGAGGGTAGGGCGTTCGCCTTACACGCGGCCAACATGGCCGACCCGAGTTCGATTCCTCCGCCCCTCTTGGAGAGCCCGGCAAGCTACCGAGAGTATTCGATATGCCAGACACAGTAACAACAAAGTCTCCAATGGAGACGTTACTGGGCCCGCTCGAGCAAATCGACGATCAGCGGGAGGGCCTTTACACATCTGATAAGGGGTTAATTTCAAGGATATACAAAGTACTGGTTGAACTCCACAAAAAGAAAACATTGAACCCCATCAAAAAATGGGGAGATGAAATAAATAGAAACTTTCACAAAGAAGAAATCCGAATGGCTAAAAGGCACATGAGAAAATGCACCACATCATTAATCATCAGGGAGATGCAGATCAAAACCACAATGAGATATCACTTCACACCATAGAGACTGCCCCATATCCACAAGAACAAAAGCAACCAATGCTGGCGCGGATGTGGCGAGAAAGGGACACTCCTTCACTGTTGGTGGGAATGCTGACTGGTTCAGCCCTTTTGGAAAACAGTATGAACGATTCTCAAAAAATTAGAAATTGAGCTCCCGTTTGATCCATCAATACCACTCCTGGGAATATATCCCAGAGAGGCAAAAAAGTATAGTCAAAGTGACATCTGCAATTGTCTGTTTATTGCAGCACTCTTTACAATAGCCAGAATCTGGAAAAAACCTGAGTGCCCGAGAACACATGACTGGTTAAAGAAACTTTGGTACATTTACACAATGGAGTACTATGTAGCTGTTAGAAAAGACGAAGTCACGAAATTTACATACAAGTGGTACTACATGGAAAGTATCATGTTAAGCGAAATGACTCAGAAAGAAAGGGATAGACATAGAAAGATTGCATTCATCTGGGGAACATAAAGTAACAAAATAGTGGACTAACACCCAAGAATGGCTAATATTAGTACCAGGAATTTTGCTCTATGGCTTGGAGGCCAACCACACATACTAGGGGGAAAGGTTGCTCAGATAAAGAAGGGAACACCAAATAAAGGTGTTGGGAGGATCCTCTCAGGATGGGAGAAGCATGTTGAAAGTAGACTATAGACTAAACATGATTGTCACCCATTCCCTCTTTTGCAAACCACAACACCCAATAAGAGAGAGAGAACAAAAAGGAATACCCTGCCACAGAGGCAGGGTGGGATGAGGGGGTGGGGGGGTCGGAGGGATACTGGGATCCATGGTGGTGGAAAATGGGCACC